AATTTTGGACAGGTAAATTTGGGACTGGTGAATTTGGACAGGTGAGGTTGGACAGGTGAGGTTGGGACAGGTGAATTTGGGACAGGTGAGGTTGGACAGGTGAATTTTGGACAGGTAAATTTGGGACAGGTAAATTTGGGACAGGTGAGCCCCTGACCCCCTCCCCTCCCCCACAGATCCTGGACGACCTCCTGGAGATCGACCGAGTCACCGCCCACTTCTGAGGGACCCAAAACCCCCAAAAATCACCCCAAAAAAATCCCCCAAAAATCCCCAAATTCCAAAATCCCAAAAACTCCCCAAAAATCCCTCAAAAAACCCCAAAAATCCCCACAAAAACTCCCCGTTTGTAATAAAACACAATTCTCAACTCCGGTTTTGGGGTTTATTTGGGGGATTTGGGGAAAATTTTGGGGAAGGATTTTGGGGGGTTTGGGAAAAGGTTTTGGGGTCATTTCAGGGGATTTTGTGTAAAATTTTGGGGTAATTTTAGGGAATTTCTGGAAAAGGTTTTGGGGTAATTTCAGGGGGTTTTGGGGTAATTTTAGGGAATTTTGGGTAAGATTTTGGGGTAAATTTAGAGGATTTGGGGTTCACAGTGGCTTTGGGGTTTCACAGTGAATTTTGGGGAGGGGGTTTTGGGATTTTTGGTATTTTCGGGGTGATTTTTTTTTTTTTTTGGGTGGGTTTTGGGGTTTTTTTGGGTTTTTAGGTGAGGTTCGGCCGCTTCCCCAAAATTTTTGGGGTGTCTTTCAGGAATTTTTGGGGGCGTTTTTCTCTTTTCCAGGCGTTTGTGGGGTTTTTTTTTTGTGTTTTTTGGGGTGTTTCAGGGTATTTTTGGGGTGTTCCCAGCCGCTTTTTGGGGTATTTTTGGGTATTTTTAGTGTGCTCCAGGCCGGGTTTTGGGTATTTTTGGGGGTTTTGGGATATTTTGGGATTTCTGGGGTGTTCCGAGCCGGTTTTTGGGTATTTTTGGGGTGCTCCAGATGGTTTTTGGGGTGCTTCCAGCCGTTTTTGGCTATTTTTGGGGTGCTCCGGCCATTTTTAGGGTATTTTTGGGGTGCTCCAGCTGGTTTTTGGTGTATTTTTTGGTTTTTTGGGTGTTTTTGGGGTGCTTCCAGCCGTTTTTGGGTATTTCTGGGGCGCTGCAGCCGCTTTTGGGTATTTTTGGGGTGCTCCAGCTGGTTTTGGGTATTTTTGGGGTGCTCCGGCCGTTTCTGGGGTATTTTGGGTTATTTTTGGGTATTTCTGGGGCACTCCGGCCGTTTTTTGGGTTATTTTTGGGTATTTCTGGGGCGCTCCGGCCGTTTCTGGGGTATTTTGGTTATTTTTGGGTATTTTGGGGGCGCTCCGGCCGTTTTCGGGGTATTTTTGGGGTGTTTGGGGGTGATTTTTGGGGTGGTTCCAGCCGCTTTGGGGGTATTTTTGGGGTGTTTTGGGGTGATTTTCGGGGCGCTCCAGCCGTTTCTGGGGTATTTTGGGTTATTTTGGGGTATTTTTGGGGTGCTCCGGCCGTTTCTGGGGTATTTTGGGTTATTTTTGGGTATTTTTGGGGTGCTCCGGCCGTTTTGGGGGTATTTTTGGGGTGTTTTGGGGTGATTTTTGGGGTGGTTCCAGCCGCTTTGGGGCGCCCCCTCAGGCGCGCAGCAGCAACTGCAGCTGCTCCGCCCCGGGCAGCGCCCCCCAGCGGCCGAGCAGCCGCAGCGCCGCCGCCTCCAGCCGGAACCGCAGCCACGCCCACCTGGGGGACGCGTGACGTCACGGGGGG